GATCAGCATGGATGCCTGCTTAGGTTATTGGAAACCATCCCACTGTTTAGTATAACCACATAATCTGTGTGTCATGTAGACCATTAAGGAATCAAAACGTGTAAAGGCCGTCCCACTCCCTTGCTGCAGACGGGTTGGATTAATGAGAACTGTTATCATTCACAGGACATAGTTGCTTCGACCTTGAAGCTCCCAGCTAACAAGGTCATGTGTCATGTAAAGCGTGTTGGCGGGGCTTTCGGAGGGAAGGTGATAAAGACTGGCATCATGGCAGCCATCACCGCATTTGCTGCAAACAAGTAAGTGGAGAAAAACCTCTAAATAGACTAAAACTAAAATGAGGTTGTGCTGAATATTCTCAATATTGCAGTTAAGGCAGAAGAATCTGAGTCAAGATTATTTAAAATCACCTATAATGTACAAATACATAAACAAGCTGCCAGCTTGTTACAACTTCTTTATCTTACATTGTCAAACTACACACTGTAAAAACAAAAATGAGAATCAATTACTGAAAAGAATGAACACTACAGTGAAGAACATTATAATACCTGGAAAGCAGACAGAAAACAGATCCTGAAAGGGTGGGGTTACTTGTCCTCAGCACCTGTATGTATATGTAGGTCAGTTCAACCTGTTGAGGTAGATATTTACACCTATCTTTATTTCTATATCTATGTATATCTGAAAAGATACATATATATATGTATGTATAGAGAGAGAGAGAGGGAGGGATATAAATATAGATGTACCCCAAAAGGTGTGTGTGAGTGTGTGTGTGTATATATATATATACACACACATATATATATATATTCCTTAATTTAAATAGAAATTTTGCTTTTGTTTTGCTTACTTTTGTTTATAGAGCCATTTTCCTTTAAGGGTCTCAAAATATTACCATAGGAAATTGTCTTTGGAGTAGGCACATGTAGAAGACTTAATTTCTTTGCTAAGTAATATAGGTCAGTTCCTCTACCCCATGACATGAAAAGACCTTGATTCCAGCCCTGTCCTATGAGGGAGCACTTGGCAGTCGGACACCACCTGAATTCCTCCATTTGTCACCATCTATAATGTGGCCTTGGAACTGTTAGCCTATAGCAGGTTGTTGTCACAGTGAGAAATACCCCCAAAGCAATACCCTGGAGCCCCTGGCTCCCAAGAGCCCCGTCCCATAAGCAGTGAGTGCCAGGCGTGGTGCCCTGACCCAAAGGAAGAGGAGGCCACCAGGCATGCCCGAGAGCAGCACAGCCTGGGGTCAGAGAGTCGCTCTGTGGTTCAGTGTGTGTGTGTGTGGACCCCACCCGGGCTCTCACTAGGAGTTACAGAAACCCTGGTTAAAGTAATTTGGTAAGAGTTTACCTCTCTTGCTTTTGTTTGTTTGTTTTAGGCACGGCCGTGCAGTCCGCTGCATTCTAGAACGAGGAGAAGACATGTTAATAACTGGAGGCCGCCACCCTTACCTTGGAAAGTATAAAGTGAGCAGAAGCAGAAGGGGAGGGGCATTTACGCTGTGATTGTAACATTCCATACGCGCAGAGGGCGCCTTTTTGCTGCTCTCTAATGGGGAGTAACAATGCGCAAACCAACGAATCTCGCTTCTAGTCACCTTTCTATTCCTTGTGCCGATTACTGGCTGCTTCAATGAAGCTTTTCTGCTTTGCTCAAAGATGTCAGTTTATGAAAAAGTACTAGCTGGTATCAGCTGCTACAAAGTGAATAACTGGAAAACATGTGAATATATGCATGCATCCATGAAAATAGATCTCATAACCACACTATTCCCACAGAAAAAAAGAGGTAAAAACAGTCGTTTCCATAACAATAATGTTACGTGAAATTGCAATTTTTTGCCAACAGGTTCCTCATTTATCAGTATCTCAAGGGTGTTTTTGTAGAACTCTGTCCCAGAAATTCCTAATTCCTAGGAAAATTTCCATAGCAGGAAATAATTACTCTTTTGTTTTGTAAGAAAGAAGTTTCCTTGTCAGAGTGGGCTAACTGCTCCAACAGACAGCGAAAAACGCTGAAGAACTTAGACCTTTATGATGTTGATTCTTGCTGAAGTGAAGCCAGTGTGATCAGTAGAGGGTGGGGGTAGGGGGAGAGGAGGAGAGGACTGTGCTGCCCAGCATCATTCACAGACTCAACATTTTCCCTTCTAGTAACACCACCATCATCCCTTGAACAGCATTGCCGAATACGGAAGCCACTAGGCACATACAGCTATTTAAATTTAAATCCACTAGATTAAATAAAATTCAAAATTCAGTCCCACAGTTGCATTATCTATGTTTCACGTGCTCAATAACCACCCTTGGCTAGTGGCTGCCACATTGGACGTGCAGATATAGAACATGGCCATCATCACAGAAAGTTCTAATGGATAGCACTGTCCTAAAGACTCTGCCTTCCACTGGATCTTCTGCAGAGGGCAGCAGACAAGGGAAGGGAAGGGAAGTGGCACTGAGTGTCATGTGGGAGATATTTTAAGCACCAGGCCTGTAAGAGGTGGTCCTTGCTCTATAATCTGCACATAATTAGCCAGAACTTTGCCAACTAACTGCAAGGGAGGCTGGGAAATGTAGTCTTTCTGCATGCCCGGGATGAAAGACAACAGGATTTGTTGAACACATTGCACCGTTTCCACCACAACTGGTGTACCTGCATACACATTGTTAGAAGATAACAGATGGATCTATTTCAACTTACATTCAGTCTAAGTTCTATTTTGAATCTCGTTTAGTTCAACAAAGACTTATTAGAGTGAACTTTGTCCTCAAGGACATTACATTTCAGAGGTTGAGGGGGATATAAGACTTACACATATGAAGTCCTTATGAAAACATAATAATCTCGGGTTCAAAAATGAGGGATGTATAACAAAGCTATGGGGAGAAATAAATATGAGTTAGAGTGTGTCCAGGGAACTTCTTAGAAAAGGTGAGACATAAATGACCTTCAAGAATGGATAGGCAACAATGGATTCCCAGGTGGTGGGAATAGTAAGAGCATGAATGCAGAGGTGGGATGCACATGGCATGTTTGACAGGGGCAGGAGTAAGGGGAGAAGGGGAATTAGAACACAGTGTGCTCACTGGAAAGTAGTGGAAAATAACATGGGTTGGGTTAGGGGATGCCAGACTCAGAGAGGCCTGAGAATCCCAGGATGGAGGGTTACACTTGATCTCATGAAAAAGAGTGAGACTGAGCAGGACCTTGGCCAGTCAGGTGTCATAACCAATCATGGACACTGGTAGGAGGAAAATGATGGCACTGGGCAGGGTGGCCAGGGGGGAGAGAGGGTGGAAGCAGGTGGACCACCAGGAGGCAGCTGATGCATTCAGACTTGAAGCATGCAATATTAAGAGGTAGAGGAAGAGATGGGCCCATGAGCTGTTATAGTATAAAATAAAATGGAACTTGATGACCAACTTGCCAAAGTGCAATGGAGAATAAAACCACAAACATGACTTGGAGGTTTCCCAAGTTGGAAGGAAGAAACAGTCTGGAGGGACAGTGATGAGTTTGTGTAAATGTGGGAGATGAAGTGACAACAGGACATTTAAATCGAATGGCTTTCATCAACATGCGACATTTTTGAAAAGATTGGACACAGTGTCACCAGTCCATTCTCTTTCCCCAGGCTGGATTCATGAACGATGGCAGAATCTTAGCCCTAGACATGGAGCATTATACCAATGGAGGTGCCTCCCTCGATGAGTCATTACTTGTAAGTGTTTTAATGAGCAAATTCACATTCTGGAAAGGCTTATATAAAATTATTTAATTCAGAAAAGTGTTCAATAGTTAAATAATATTTACTTATAAAAGTGTAAAGATTCTCAATGGGGGAGCAAGTTGCCACATGTTACTTACTGGTGCCCCCAGAGTGAGCCCAGAGATACTGACTAAGTCTGCATCTGTGTGTTAGCTCCTTGTTTTTCAGACTTAGAGCTCTTTTCCCAAATGTGAGCATTAAACCTTAATCTTGGCCCTGTTGGTATTTTGGACTGGATAATTCTTTTTGTGGGAGCTGCTCTGTGCATTATAGGATGTTTGAAAGTATCATTTGGCCTCTCCCCAGTACCTGCCAGTGGGACAACTACCTTCCAGTCTTAACAACCAAAAATATCTCCAGACATTGACAAATGTCCCAGGGAAGAAGAGAGAAAAATTGCCTCTGGTTGAGAACCAATGCATTAGACCAAATCAACATTTTCCCCCTTGTTTTCCATGATATTTTATTCATTATATTCTATAGACCCAGAGTTTAAGACCTGCTAGGACTTGTTTCCAAGGCCTTTGGAAATGTTTGAAATCTGGGGGGAAAATGCATTAGCTCTAATATGAAAATTAAAAGATAATATTTTCAAAAGAAAAAGTATTCAAATCCTTAAAAATTCCTTCACGGCAAAAATGCATTTAATTTGAAACATGGGTCAATTTTAGCATGTTTGATGTGATGTCGAGGGGGTCAGTCATTTCTGGCCTGGTTTTGGTCTGAGGTCTCAGGATGGTAAAGCAGATCCAGAAGGATGAAGATCTCATCGCATCAACTCTGGATTTCCACAGGTGATAGAGATGGGACTTCTGAAAATGGAAAATGCTTACAAGTTTCCCAACCTGCGCTGCCGGGGGTGGGCATGCAGAACCAACCTTCCATCCAACACGGCTTTGCGTGGGTTTGGCTTTCCTCAAACAGGACTGATCACCGAATCCTGTATCACAGAAGTTGCAGCCAAATGTGGGTTGTCCCCAGAGAAGGTAATACTGAATCTCACATACAAAAAGTGGTGAATTTTAGAGATGGGAGGGTCACTGGGGGGTCTTCATATTGAGGAATTCGAGGTCCACAGGGCCTACATGATTTGCCTGAGGTACCCAGCTAAATAGTTAATACTGAGCAGGACTTCAGAGTTCAGTGATCCTTGTTCTACTCAGGCTTCTCCTCAAAAATCCTGGAACACAAAGAATTTTAAATTTTTTTTTTTTAGTGGAGGTACTGGGGATTGAACCCAGGACCTCATCCATATTAAGCATGTGCTCTACTACTGAGCTATACCCACCACCCCCTCCCTCAAAAATCCTGGAGACAGGGGGGATTGAGGAGTGAACACTGGATTCATTGTTTAGTCTCCATTGACTGGGGGTATAACTGCTACCAACAAGTTCTGTAGACCCTTCTTTCCCCTGCTTCCTTAGCATCTCAGGCAGCTGTCATCTGAGTCACTTAAGTTACAAAAATGGTCTCTGTTTTTTAAGTCTTGGCCCCAACTTCATTCACTAACATGCTCGGTTCCTTTCCCAGGATCCTGGAGTGGAGTTCGGGTGGGGACAATGGTGTGTGCTCTGCCCCCTTCTCCTCCCCTGTGCCTTCTGCTGTGGTGTTGGGCAGGGAGGAAGAGGGGGACCTGGGAAACAGACAGCATCTTCCCAGCTGGCTTCTCCCAGTGAGCTGTCTGTCCTCTTCTTGGTTAGATGGAGCCACTTTTCAAGTCTGCTGTCTCTGGGCTCCATTTCTGACAGGAGTCCCGGAAATCAGCGGTTTCCCACGAGGGTTAAATCTTCAGCTGACCCTCAGCTGGCACCTCACGCAGCATCCCCTGATGCCCACGCCTCTTTGCCCCATGCTGCAGCAGTCCCTGGAAAGCCCCAGTCCCTGATTCGTCTACCTTCTTTCCCCCATCTTCTTTGTGTCTCTTCTGCTTGTAGGGGTCCTGCCCCCTCCATTCCTGGCCGTCTCACCACAGCCTCTTTCCCAGATGTTCTGTCACACTTCGTAGCACAAGGAGGAAGATCTGATAATGATCTCCCTTCATCACCAGGGAAAATGGAAGAGAGAGTAGCCATCCTAAAAAACACCACCTTCCCCAAAAGGGCACAGCTCACTAACCTCCAGTCATCCTTCTGTAGTGATCTGGGAATCTTTCTTTTTTGGGGGACTGACAAAGTATATGTCCTTAATGGCCCTTGTCTGCTTGGGGTGATGGCTGGTCTCAACTGCTGAGTTTTCTCAGCTGAGATTGTGAGGTACCTGACCTTTTGTTCTCAACAGGGGACCCTAATCACCAGTTCTGGGAATTCAGGGAGATTTCTACTCAGTGCTTCAGACATCCTAAGATAGACTCTTTTAATTTGTTTTGCATCCTATTTGGGGTCATATTTAAACAAACTTTCACACTTTCGTGTTTGGAAGTGAGTGGTCTTCTCTTGCCACAGCATCTGAAAAATCCAAATCGTGTAGATCATGTAACCTGGAATTGAAATTCAGCCTTACCTTTTAACAGATACTCACAGGTTCAGCTAGAATTAAGAATCTGCAGTGTCCCTGGACTGTGTTGAGTCATAAAAGAAATAAAAGGAAAGGATCCTTCCTTTGAACTCACACAACAGCAGCATAGAAAGCATTTAAGTGCTAGCATATTTGACAGGGGCTCTGACTAGAGGAGTGTTCGGTGTTGGGAAAGGCTTCAACAAGGAGTAGATTGAACTCAGTTTGGGTTTTCTAGAATGAGCAGAATTTGATTAGGAGGACAGTGGGTAGAAGAGGCTATGGCTGCCTTCCCCTCCAGCTCTGTCAACCTCCTGCCCTTTTGTAGGTCCGAACGATAAACATGTACAAGGAAATTGATGAAACACCCTACAAACAAGAGATTAATGCCAAGAACCTGATCCAGTGTTGGAAAGAATGTATGGCCATGTCTTCCTATGCCCTGAGGAGAGCGGACGTGGAAAAATTCAACTCGGAGAATTACTGGAAGAAGAAGGGGCTGGCCATGGTCCCCGTGAAGTTTCCTGTTGGCCTTGGGTCAACAGCTGCTGGTCAGGTCAGTTCGATCAAAAGGTGTTGGGGAAACTTTCCATTAAGGTGGACTGGCCATTTGATCGCAGTACCTGATAGTAAAGCTTCCCCAGAGTGGTGCTCCAACTAGCTTTTCTCCAGAGGAGACAGGAGCTACTTTGCCCATGACCCCAGAATTGGTGACAAGCATTCTTGCTGGGAAATCGGGAGACCTGGCATCTACTCCTGGCGTCGAACAGCTGAGTCAGTTCATTCTGGGGCCATTCAATTAAGAGTGGGACCCGATGACCCCTCAAGACACCTCTTCAGCTACTGTGATTCCATGTCACTGGATCAGGATATAGACACAGGAAGCTGCAAGGCACTCGGTGCCCCTCCCCCTTTTGGTGGATTGGGGTAAACCAAATCCAGAAAAGTAAATCACTTAAGAAATTTTTTGAAACACTGTCTTAGGAGATCTTCTGTTTATAGCTGTTACAAGTATGAAGGAGAGGACTGAAAAATATCTTCTTGTTATTTATTTTCTTTAACTGATTAAATAAATTCCCTGCTCAGTTGCTAAATCTCACCCCTTCATTCACCAAGCAGCTGGTGTTCTAGTTCATTTTACAGCAAGGATGTGGAACCCCATTACCTATGTTCTCACATACGTGTGTGTATGTATACATCTGTGTGGATGAGGTGTCAGAACCCTCAGAACTGTTGTCACAGCGCTTTGTGGAGTTCACACCTTTGGCTGAGCTGGGAAGAAGGCACGGCAGGTGCGCTGAGTGCTGACAGACTAGGGATAGAGGGGGTGGGACTGTGCGGGGCACAGGAGGAGGAACGGTCCTCCCCCTTCCCACACCCAACGCTCACCCATCTTTCCTGGTTCAGCTTCCGTGTAGTCCTCAGAACGTTTTCCTGCAACTTCGATTGTAGGTGGGTTGGCTCAGAGGAGCATCATTACATTACAAGTGGTGATCTCATTGGAGCCCTCCCATTCTCTCTGGTTTATGAAGGCAAAACAACATAGAGCCATTTAGTCATTGGTGCACAATTTACTCAGATGAGGGAGAAAGTCAAGAGGCTGTGGTTGAGGAATAAAGGCAAAAACCAGGTTGCTAAAAAAGAAAAGAGAGGAGAACTACCACTAGAAAAGGGTTGGTGAGCAACGAATCTTGGATACAGTTCTGAGGGGTAAACTGATTAGCTGGCAGCCAGCAAAGAGGCCATTCTGGGCCATCTGTCCCTGAGGACATCCGTCAGAATTATGGGGAAAACAATTCCCAGTGTTTACGAATCTTCTGGAAACTCTTGGGCGTTAGGCTGTGGGTAGACTGGGCAGGCTGTCTCTGTTCAGTGGTTGCCTTTACTTAACATCTGGCCTCCACAGTGGAACAAGTCTGTCCCATTTTCCCCATCAGAAATCTCTCAAAATGGAGATAAAAAATAACGGTAATTACTGAGCACCTACTATGGTTAAGTCCTTTCAGATTTTGTCTCATTCAACCCTCAGGGAAACCTACAGGCTTTGTAGCCTCATTTTAGTGATGAGAAACTGAGGCACAGCGAGCTTAAGTAAGTTGCCCAAAGTCCCAGGGCTGGGGACAAGTGGGCTGAGACTCGGGTCTCTAAGGCCCCAGAAGCTGTGCTTTTGTCGGCTGCATCCAGCCACCTTCCCCAGCACCTTCGGCGGGGGATTGAGATGGGATTCAGCTCAGCCAGGAATGACCTGGACGACAGTCAGCAGCACAACTTGGTTCTTAAAGGCTACCGAGGAGCTCCTCCCACCTCACCCCCTCTTCCCATCCTCGCCTGGAAACCAGCTCTGTGCTTAAAACATTTGCTTAGGGCTGAATCGAGGAGTTTGAGATCAGTCAAGCTGCTTTCTGAAAGCCAGATGCTGACAGCCTCTGTCCTGAAGCAACCCAAATCAAGGAGGGGGCTAGAACCCCTGTGTGTGTGAGGCCCCAGGCTGGGTGCTTTGCAGTCTCCCACCTGATTTAACCCCTGTCTCCTCTGTCGGGTAGGTGTGATTCTGGTTCATAGAAGGGGAGCTGAAGCCCACAGAGGTTTGCTCTCTTGCCCAAAGACATTCAGTTAGTGAGTGGCAGAACAAGGACTTGACCTCAGAACTGTGCTCCCAACAGCTGAGGGTGTCAAACATACCTCACCTCCATTATATTTAACTCCTGGACGGGAGCATTAACCTCTGTATTCCCAGTGCCTTTGTACGGCACCTGGCACAGAGGAGGAACTTAAATGTTTGAATGGCTGAGACATTTTGGGAATCTGTGGGATCCGAGCAGACTTCTCACCAGCACCAGCAGCCATAGCTTGAGGATTTAAATTTCACAGACTAAGTTCCCAGTTTATATTGGAGAACCATCTGTTTCCGCACCCTGGTTTTGCTAATTTCTGATTTCATAGATGCAGCTTTGTGGAATTATCTTTTGTGGCGCTGACAATGAACCATCCAGTGGTGCCACTTAACTGAACCAAATTTGACATTTTAAATGGCCCAGGGAGATTGCAGCAGCACATGGGACAAATTACTCAGCGGTCTCTGATAGAAGAGCTGCCCTGGACGCACAGGCAGAACGCTGCCACCAGCTAGGTCACGCGATGGAGGAAATACACAACCCACTGTAATTGTAGCTCAACCACATGTCCCGGTGACAAATTCCACCCACAAGCGACTTCTCAATTGCTTGCAGAGCCAAGGAGGCTAAATACAGAGTCTACAAGCTTAAGAAACAGATGGAATGGCGATGCTGTTGCCATTTCATTGCTCAAACTTGTATTGAGTACTTACTACGTGTGAGGTACCATATTGCTTTGCAAGGGAAGCCTTAGGACATGCGCTTTCCTCTCAGGGGGCTTACATTCCCACCGAGTACAAAGAAGTGCCATGGAATGAAGCCCAGCTGCAGCCATTGCAGCTGGCGTCACCTGCTGTCTGCTGCACAACCCCAGGGTGGCCAGCTCCAGGTGCTCTGTAGAGGACCCTGTGTTGTTTTGAGAGTAAATGGCCAGGAGCACAAAACAGTGTTTGCAGACTGATGTGTCAACAGGCAGTAAAACACATTGTTGCATCTCCTCGAGGCCCTTGGGTATGATTATTGTGGCCATGCCGTCTTTCTTAAGTTTCCAAGATTCTCCCTTGGGCTGCAAATGTATGTGCCTTTGACCTCAGAGAGAGAGCCCCCATGTCCCCATTTTCTCAATACATCCCTAGCTTACACCTGCTGACCAGGTGAATAGAGCCCGTTTTCATGGTCA